AGGTCCTTAGTGAACCAGTCTGGTGACTTGACTGACAGTTACCATTGGAACTTGGCTGCTATATAGCGAGTCCGCGTGACGCAGGATCCAGCGGCGCCTCCCTGTCCCGTGCTCGGGTAGCCTGCGCCGTTGTCCCCCTCGCTTAACACGTGTTTACAGGTGAATGCAACGCCCCCTTGGTTCCAGATATATGCCTGCAGCGTTACACCCCTGGTCTGCAGCCTCGTGTTCGGCTGGCACCCGCCGCTCTCTCGCCGCGCGCGATGTACGTGAGGGACGCAACTCTCTGACCTCCCATATCTGTAGCTATTTTTCTCTTTTTTCCTTATGTAAAACTTATCAAAGTTATTTTTATAGCCACCGAGAAATATAGCCATAATTCACATGTTTGGAAATTTCTAGGGCGTACTATATGACAAATACATAGTTATACACGCCATTCTAATACTTTTATAGTAAGTATCATCTGAGAGCCTTTTCGTTTACAAGGTGGCCTGCCATCCATACCGTTACTGAGTTATAATACGCAGTCGCAGTGAAATGACTATAATATACACATAGGCCTATCTCTATAGCACCTGCTGAATATAGACGATGAAGCCAGAAGAGACCGCGGTACAAGATGCGTTGCGCAAAAGATGCGTTGTTCCCGACCCGCCGAAAGCCGGTTAAAGCCGCGCACTTCTGCGGGACTGGGCGCACGCGACCGTGGGGTGTTGTATGTAGGCATCTCGCGTCTCCCCGCGCTATACGAATTCGCGCGCCGACAAGGAAGGCAGCCCTTCGCGCGCGAATGCGTATAGCGGGCAGCCTAACATCGCGCAGTTTTCGAGACACGTACATCGGCTCGGCTACATCGGCTTTGGAGGGGGGCCTTTCGATTATAGATTGACACGGTTTGTACATCCTCGCCCGTCGTACCGTCACTGCCGATATTTCGTACCTTATCTGGCGTTATCTCCCACTCTCTTCTCTCTTTCTCGCACTCTCCACGGTCTGTCTCTCTCTCGCTCTCTCTCTCTCGCTCGCTCCGCCGCCACGGGTTAATAAGGTATCTTTATACATGCATCAATGCTGCCGGCAGCCACACAAGCATGCACTTGCAGCGTTTCAATAAAATGTAATTGCTAAATAAATACAAAATCTATTTACTACGAAAGTCGCCGCGCCGCCAAAACTCCGCAGCCAGCGTTTTGTTGGATATAGCATTTGCGGACCGTGCCGGCCGCCACGTTGAGGCGCGGGGAGGAGGGAGGCTGCGATGTGTTGCGCTCCCCCGTCTTCGTAAAAACATGTGCACATATATTTTGGGTGTGTGTCAGTGTGGCGGCTTATTGTAGCATTAGCTACCGTGTTAAAAACTGCCAGTATTACAACTGCAGTATGCATTGTCCTGCATACAACTATCTATGTCTATTATTGGAACACTATGTCTATAATATATTCCTATGTTATTATTGGCGGTACAGTATACAACTGCAACTGCAATATGCAGGCGCTCCGCCGTCTTCGTAAAGACATGTGGATATATATATTTGTGTGTCAGTGTGGCGGCGTATTGTTAGAGATTAGCTACGTGTAAAAACTGCCACGGCCACGCCAGACGTACTCGTGCTCGCAGGACGTTGCCGTCGCCACGGCCAGTGCGGGGTCAAGAGGTTGATAAAACCTCGCACGTTACGGAGCCAGGCGCTTTTCCAGATAACATCAGTTGGAATTCTCAGGTGTAAACAAACATCAATCAACGCGGCTTAGCCAATCACGTAAGGGGTACTAAGATGGCTACGATAATTTGAATCCGACGTCACGATTTGGAGCTAGACTGCCTACGCGACCTTAACTCGGCCCAAGTATCTTTCGCCCTACACTAAATTATTAGTTAGTGCAGCGTGTGCGGACTCTCCACGCCGCGGAGCAGTCTAGCTGAATCGCCGATCCTTGTGTGGCTAATTCCTTTGAAATCCCTCGAAGAGAGCCTCGTCGCGTCCATCTATGGGCACGCCATATGTACGAGAATAAATCAGGGCGTGAAACGCAAGAAATGCAAACTCGCTTTTCTAGACGAAAGGAAACGCGCGACCAGCAAAACAAGCAATTACCAGCATTTGTATTTATTCTCGACCTACGTGCCATAGCCCGAAAGGCTTGTGGAATCGCCACAACTCCTCAATTGACGATTATACGGCTTCTATCTGTACCCATTAGGGGCATAGCTGGAGAAATTTTTTTTTTCCATTAATTATAGGGCAGCCGAATAAGATTTATTGTCACCGCTGCGCGGCCGTTTGCGCGCTTCGCGCGGATATCCGGGCTGCAGATCGTCTAGAATCATCACAATACCATCATTGCATTGGACCATTTCGATCACTCGGTACCCGACGGTCGTGCGCGCAATGCGATTTTCATGACTCGGTACCCGACAGTCGTAGTCGCAATGCCATTTTGCATCACTCGGTACACGACGGTCGGGTATATAATACGTTCCTATAATATATCATTCGACACTATACTATTATTTGCGGTAACAAATGTTAACAAATCTCTATCGTTCAACGGCAATGGCAACTGTCAAGAACAACATTATGTAACAACTAGACGATGACTAGGCCTATTTCAATGTTGTCTCACCGATGGAATGCTTTTCACTCCTCACATGGAACAACGTTACACTTGGATATGCACTACAACAGCGTGGCATGATATATCGATGGATGCAACATCGATGGCTATGTATGAATGCGAAACTATATATGCTCTGTGCTCTATGCACAGGGCTATGCTATATGCACTCTGCTCTGCTATTATACATGCTCGAACTATTACGTCATCATCGGAAACATCAGACCATCGGGGGTACTAAGATGCATACGGCTGCTGCTGCTCTGGCAGCACATACGGCTGCTGCTGCTGACGCCACGGCGGCGGGGCTTTTCCAGATAACATCTAGTGGAAATTCTCAGTGTAAACAAACATCAATCAATGGGCTTACCCAATCAACGTCGGGGGTACTAAGATGGCTACGATAATTTGAATTGCACGTCACGATTCTAGGTAGACTGGTACGAACCTTAACTCATAGTTAAACTTATAGTTAGTGCAGCGTGTGGAACTCTCCACCGCGCGGCAGTATAAGCGCAATCGCCGACCCTTGTGTGGAAATAAACCTTGAAAATACCTCGTAACGGGCCTCGTCGCGCCATCTATGGGACGGCATATGTACGAGAATAATTTAACGGCGTGAAACGGAAGAAATGCAAACTCGCTTTTCTAGAGGAAAAGCAAATGCGCCGACCAGCAAAGGAGCAATTACGAGCATTTGTATTTATTCTCGCCCTACGTGCATACTCGAAAGGCTTCTGGAATCGCCACAACTCCTCAATTCACCGATTATAGTGCTTTATCCTATACCCAAAGGGCACTGTCGAAAAATTCTTTTAAACAGGGCAGCAAATCCGATAAAAAGTGCCGCTGCGCGGCGCTGTTCGCACTTCGCGCGGATATCCGGCTGCAGATCGTCGAGGATTATGCAGCGAATTCATGTCATGGACTCGTGCAGTTAAGAAATCATACTTCTTCTGAAACCATTTTAAGTGAGTCTGAAGCATTTTGTACAAATCATGGGCAAAAGCCTCCGTAGAGTACACAGGCATGTCAGTGACCATTTTATACGGGGACGAAGGTTTTTCTAGATTAGTCAATTCGTCACATATTTTAATAAGGTAAGTACTCAACGCTGAGGTGTTAGCTGAGAAGGTAAGCAACCATGAATCGTGTGACACTGCGAGACGACCTTGCTTGACAAAAAGAGCACCCGTCGTTGGTTGCAGCGTAGCAGCCACGAATGAGAAGCTCATAAGTGCTAGACACAGCACGAATGCCATCATTCTGTAAGAGACATAAAAAATTAAACATTAAAATGTTCACAGGCATGACACTAAGCAGCTATATGCTCTCGCAATGCAGCTAACGGAATCAAATCCTCAGCCTCCCATTGAGAACTGTGCTGTGAACTTGTGTCGTCATCGTAGTTGTGAACAGCTGTACCTACCATGCGCGTTTGCCGAAAAGGTTGCTCACGCGTTGTGTGTCTAGCCGGTAGGGTGAGGTAAATGTGAGGTGACAGATGAGAAGGGTAGGGTGTGGGGAGGTAAAGGAGGAGGAGGAGAGGGGGCAGAAACGAGGATGGGGAGAGGCCGGAGAATGAGTTGGAGGGGGAGGTAAAGAGGAAGGGGAATAAGGGGAGAATCTGAACAGGGTATAGGAATTAAGGGATGAGGTAGAGGGGCAGGTGGAGGGAGGCTGGAGGAGGAAGTACGTGGTAGATGTAGGTGGGGTAGGGGAGGAGGAGGAGCGCAGCAACAGTAGCAGGAGGAGTAAAGAAGGAGAAGCTGAAGAAGGCGGAGGAGAGGAAAGAATGGAATGAGGAAGTAAGGTAGGAGAAGGTACCAGGAGCAGGTAAGGTATATGTGAACAAGCTGGTTTAATGATAAGGGACTAGCTATATTGAAGACGGAAAGAGACAAAGTTAATCAAATATACAGATCAATAATGCGGATCACAGTAGACAAAATCTCACGTTTGCAACTAACTAAAGAGAAAGGGAGAAAATTCCAATATGGAAATTGACAGAGACAAAGAAGCTGATTAATTTATGTTCGAAATATCTGATGCTTTGTACTGTATCGCTCAGAAATTTTATCATTTGAACTGCTCAACACTATTGCATTTATCAGATTTTTTCTCCATGAAAAAGACTGTCCTCAGTACATGTACATGTATTTGAATTACATGCAATAAAGGTTTAATTATTAAAAAAACAACCTTAATTTTTTGGTATACGTAGTTGCCGATACGACTGTTAGTTCGCAAATATGCCGTTCAACATCTGTCGCGCCACGAGTCATTTTCCACTGCGCGGGTGGTGGCGCTGCATTTTGGTCGTGGAACAACATTTGCGTCCCTAATCTCTTTCTTTTCCGGTTCGGTTTCCGAAGGTATATAACGTGTTTTATATATTTATGTAATTTCTCCGGTTCTGTGCAGCCATATGTGACTCTACATCGTGAATTTGCGCGAGTGAATAGGACAAGTAAATATGTGTTGTATGTGGTGAGCTGTTGTTTAGGTAGCAGGTAGGCCCTACACATGACCAATGGCAATGGCAATACTAGAAGTAGTAAAATGACAACACAATCAATCATAGGGTCAATCAATGAATAGGCCTACGGTGTAGAACTTGCTGTTGTACCGCCGGTTAGTGGGCAGTCGCGTAATGTCGAAAATTGACAAGTATAAATGCAGCCAGGCTGATTAGGTCAGTTATTCACGTGCAGTTACTGATTCAGTGATTGGGAATCCTACGGTTTTTCCAATACCAAAACAACTGATCACAACTGAGAGTGTGTTTCATAAACATCATGACGCTAATGCCGCGATAATCACAAATGTGTTTTAGAATGATAATATTAGTACACAGTGCATTACTTATTACAATACTATTAGTATTAGTACTATCGAGATGTTGGGAAAAAGTAAAAACCATACTTATTTGCAAAGAATAGCAACAGCGAAATGAGTAGTCTAACACTAACAGGCAGTAAACGCCGTCCCTACTATCCCTAAATTACGGTGCACGGTCGAGTAAGTCGTATGTTTATTGCCTTTTTCTAGGGTTCACCCCTATTTTTTATTTGATTTGGATGTGTAATTGCTTTAGCCTGTTGTTGTCTAAGATTGTAAATACATTCTAGATTTGTATTCAGGTTTGCCTTTTTGCACTGTAATTTGGTTTTTGGTGTTACAAGTGGATATATATTGAGTTGGTCTCGGAGTTGATTGGTAAGCAGATGTTGAGATTCGCTTCTATTTACTTTCAGGTCTTTGGATCAGTGATAAACATGGAAGATTGGGAAGCTGAAACGCAAGCAGCATCAGACTTGCATGCGGTAGCAGCGCCTGAGTTGCCCGAGATCAAGCTTTTTGGTCGATGGACTTCCGACGATATTCAAGTCAATGACATGAGCTTGACTGTAAGTGTGCATTATTATACAGATAACGCACGGCCCAGCGTGCATTTACATTGATCGCACAACAGGCCAAGTGCGTTATCTGTTTTATAAAATTGCGACACACAATTAATTGAAAATAAATAGTAAGTCTAGATCACGGAAATTTATTTCAATTCCGAACGTCAAAACAAACACATCTACAGTTTAGTAAATTGCTTCACACACAATTAACAGTATGTCTAGATAAACAGTCTAGATAAATAGTCTAGAAAATAAATAGTAAATCTACATCTCGAAAATTTCAGTTTGATGCTTAATTATTGTAAATGTTAACATAATCGCGAGCGTGCAATATAACTTTTTTTGCGCGCTTTTTTACACGGTTTGGCGTGCATTATAACAACAACAACAGCGTGTCATGTGACGTGTTTTGACCAATCATGATCAGTGTTCGAAATTCACGGGCCGACAGTTTCGATGCCGGGCCTACAGCTTCTTGGTAAAACAGGCCCGCTGATCCTACAGCTATTTGATCACCGAAAATTCGAAACACTGAGAAACTGTTACCTGTAGAAATCTGTGCACTCTGTGCATGCATATTAACTTCCAGGGGTATTTATTTGAAAACTAATCCGTGATAAACCGTGACATACATGTAAACAAGAGCAGATAAAGAAGGAGAGCGTACAAGGGTAAAATGCTGAAACCATGCTGCAGTATTAGTCGAATTATTAAACTTTTCCCATTTTATTTTGACGATCCTTTGCAGTATTATTGATTAGCTGTCTTACCTTGTTCATATCAAACAAACCGCATGTCCCTACGATGCCCTTACGCTGAGATAATGAGCGGCGAAAATCTGGTATTTTCGCCGAAACCAGACTCGAGATCAGTGTGAACTGCGTCCCTCTCCCGAAGTGTTATAACTTCGGGAAACCTCGCGTGTCCTGAATGATGTCTGTTATTGATTGCCATAGTGATGACCCCCACCTGTGCCCACCTCACGCCCACCTCACGCTGGATGTATAGTAAACTCTGGTAGTATTACGTGAGTCAGCGCCACTGGCGCTACACAGCGGCGACCGGAAGCAACACACTGGAAACACTTCGAGAGACAGTCGCAGTTCACACTGATCTCGAGTCTGGTTTCGGCGAAAATACCAGATTTTCACCGCTCATTATCTCAGCGTAGGGGCATCGTAGGGACATGCGGTTTGTTTTATATGAACAAGGTAAGACAGCTAATCAATAATACTGCAAAGGATCGT